GGGGCGGCGCGGGCGGGGCGGCGGCGCCCGCCATTTAGCCCATGCGCGGCGGCGGGGCCGCCCTTTCGGCCTGAGCGGCAGCGGCGTCTCGTCCCCCCCAGCGGCAGCGGCTCCGGCGAGAACATGGCGGACCAGGCCATCTCCTTCCTCAAGGACTTCCTGGCGGGCGGCGTCGCTGCCGCCATCAGCAAGACGGCCGTGGCGCCCATCGAGCGYGTCAAGCTGCTGCTACAGGTCGGCGGCGCAGCGCGGCGCGGAGGGGCGGGCGGCGGCGGCCACCGCGCTCTCCCCGGTGTGGCCGGGGGCGGCGGGCACCGGGGCTGGGGAGGAGGGGCAGCGGCGCCTCCACGTCCCCGCGGAACAAAGGGCGCGCGGCGGGCGGCTCGCGCCGGTGCCGGCGGGAAGGTCACGTGGGCGGGGAAGCCGGTTCCGCTAAGCGGGTCAGGGCGGGGCGGCGGGGGGTGGGGGGGGGGGGGGGGGGGGGGCGCAGCTTCCGCCGTCACTTCCCGTCTTCGCCGCTGGCGCCGCGCGCGGCGACGGAGGAGAGGGGAAGGGGCGGCAGCGCGCCGCCATTTTCTCCCCCTTCACGTGACGGCGCTGCGGGGCGCTCATTGGCCCGCGGGCGGGGCGGGGCGGGGGCGCGCGGCGCCGGGTGTCCTCGCGCGGGCCCGGGGTGACCTCGCCCCACTCCGCGCCTGCGCACGCGCGCGGGCCGCCCCGCGCGCCAAGGTGACTCGYGTGACCTTCGCGGGCGCAGGCCGCGCCGCCGCCCTTGGGTGAAGGTCGGGCCTCGAGCTCGCTCGGCGCCCGGTCTGGGCGGAGATGCGGATAAACTGCGGTGCTTACCGGGCTCCCTGGTGGGAGGGACTGCGGCCTCCCGAGCTTTTAGGAAGCGTGGCCTGCCGGCTGCCCTGGCAGGCTTAGCCGCCGCAGAAAGCAGCCATCAGGCGTTCAAGCCCAACGACCCTTTGTTTCGTGCTGTAAGCAGCCCCCTGACCTGGTGTGTGCAGGCCTTGCAAGGCTCACAGTGAAAATACGCGTTTTCTTTCGCAGGTGCAACACGCAAGTAAGCAGATTGCTGCTGATAAGCAGTACAAGGGTATCATCGACTGTGTAGTGCGCATTCCAAAGGAGCAAGGAGTGCTGTCCTTCTGGCGTGGGAACTTGGCAAATGTCATCAGATACTTCCCCACTCAAGCCCTTAACTTTGCCTTCAAGGATAAGTATAAGCAGGTGTTCTTAGGAGGAGTAGACAAGCACACACAATTCTGGAGGTATTTTGCCGGTAACCTGGCTTCTGGTGGTGCAGCTGGAGCCACTTCCCTCTGCTTTGTCTACCCCTTGGATTTTGCAAGAACCCGTTTGGCTGCTGATGTCGGAAAAGCTGKTGCAGACAGAGAATTCTCTGGTCTGGGGGACTGTCTAGTCAAAATCACCAAGTCTGATGGTCTGCGTGGCTTGTACCAAGGGTTCAATGTCTCTGTCCAGGGTATCATCATCTACAGAGCGGCCTATTTTGGAATCTATGATACAGCAAAAGGTAAACTTTAGAAAGGAGCTGATAATAAACCTCTCTGCAGAATATGTCTTTCTATTGCCCACMTTTTTGTATGTCTGTATTTAACCATTACATCTGTTCTTGTGTCACTGTTCATGTGAAGGGGAAGATAGAAGGGTGATTGCCAGTAATGCCGCACTACTGGCTGCAAAATTTTGGTGTCTATGATTGGCAGCAGGCTAGTTCCTAATGGTCTTGCTTTCTTCTACTTGTTCTTAAAAGGGGGGGGTGTCTAATTATAGTAATGTATTTTAGTAATCATAAATTTATAAAGTTCATTTATAAATGCATTTTTATAGTTTTTATTAGACTAGTTGAAGCTTTAAGCAGAATGGTATGGAGCAGTTTTACTAAACGTTTGCTGATATTGATATAGGGTATAGTGTTGCTAATACAAACTTGCAGTTTAATATAGAAATCAAACAATGTGATTGTATTTTTGGTGATATGCCTTTCTTACGTTAGGAAGAATTTTTTTCTCTYGCCAATCTAGTGAATCTGTTATCTGAATGTTAGATGTGCTGATTACTGAGGGGGGGTTAATATGTGACTAGCTTTGAGAGTTTTGTCTGAAGTCTGAAATARTCTTGTTGCATGTAGTGCCTTGTTGCAGCTTCAGACTGTAGCTCCGCAGTGTTTTGTCATAATTTTTAAAGTAGCTGTCATGCAGTCAGTGAGTGTGCTGGAGGAAGAGGGGGTGGGAAACAAACTCATCAGTCTCTTTCCTGCAGGCATGCTCCCCGATCCCAGAAATACCCACATTGTTATCAGCTGGATGATTGCACAGACAGTGACTGCTGTGGCTGGTGTGGTCTCCTACCCTTTCGACACAGTGCGGCGTAGGATGATGATGCAGTCGGGGCGCAAAGGAGGTAGGCTGCTCATCTGTGCCCTTCTTAAGCAGCATTAACAAGATCTTCAGATGTCTCTTGTCATCCCTCAGGGCTTATGCTTGCCATTAAGGTGGCTTGGGCTCTATTGTGTGGGCAGCCCCAGCGGGGCCCAGGGCTTGTGTTATGACACAGTACTTGAGAGTACTTGTGGTGAAGACTTTTTTTTTTTATAGAGCACAGAGCATGGGCTGAGGGAAAGAATTGTCTGTTGGTAATGACATACTGGGTGCTGGCAATTAGGTAGCTGTGTAATTGCCCAAAGAAACCTTAATAGCATTCTTCTGTATGACTTGCATTTATAATAAGTAGGCAAGAGGACTGGAAGCTTTTCTGATGCCTGAAAGTCTTGTTTAACAGCCTTAAATGTGGCTTGGCATGCCACAGAGTAACTGGTAATGTGAAATGGGGCTGTTGGTAGAAGTATCTCAGATATATTTATAGGAGTAAAATTGTTCTTTGCTTCTTTTTTTCTACAGCTGATATCATGTACTCTGGAACAATTGACTGCTGGCGGAAGATTGCAAGGGATGAGGGAGGAAAAGCCTTCTTCAAGGGTGCATGGTCCAATGTTCTCAGAGGCATGGGGGGAGCTTTTGTCCTTGTGCTGTACGATGAATTCAAGAAAGTCATTTAAAAGTAGCCTGACTAGCATTGGAAATCAAGTTGAGCAGATCATGTAGAATAACTACCATTATGGACCATTGACCTTCAAGAAATTCCTGTGAGTCTTATTTATCGGAGCCAGATATTTGTAGATGGGGCAAGAAACTGGTACAAGAGACTGATCCATGGCCTGCATGGGAACACTGCAGCTGGCAATTCAGCACAGTCTTTTTTTTTTTTTTTTTTTTTTCTTTCCCAGCAATGCAACAATGAAAAATCAATGTCATTGGTTCCGGGTCCAAAGTAGCTGGGTCCAATTCAGGCAGAAAATTGTTTGCCTTGGATCAGTCCCCCAGTTTCAAGYCCCATCTCCTAGGACCATAAAATTGTATTTGAAAGTATTGCTAACAGATCATGTCTTTTCCACTTGTACTGAAGCACTATGTACCATTTTGCACAGCTGAACATCTAGCGATTMTATTCTTAAATTGGGGCATTCTGCTGTAAAACAATAAACATACTTACTCTGTCTGTGTTGAAATTCTTACATTTAAGCTTTGGGAAGACCTCTCCTGGTTAAAAATTTGTTTCAGATAATGGTTTCTGATAAATCTACACTTCACTACAGCAGAATAAGCTTGGGTTTTTTTTCAGTTGAGTGCGAGATCCTTATGGCAAGGGGAAGCATGGGTTGTAATAATAGAAACCACTCCTTTGTGCCTGATAGTTCATGATGGGCTGCTGCAAGTGGCTTTTTGCATGATTCACTCTGTTTTGCAATGTGTCATGTAATGTAAAACAAGGATTTTTTTTTTCATTGTAGCGCTARAAGGGTAACCCAGAGTCCCAAGGGTAGTCAAAAACAAGTTAGCAATGCTCTTGGTAAAACAGCATAAAGTGAAATACTAAAATTAAAAAAAAGGCAACACAGCATTCATGCAAAAACCCAGAAACTTTGTGAAATGCCTTCAATTTGTAAGTAATCTTTCTCTCTTGTACTGTTGCTGCTATCTGGAAGTGCCCTTCAGGATCCTATTTGGACTGACATGTAGCAGCAACGAGTACTGTCATGGAAGATGAATTTTAAACTGAAAGTTCATTCCAAAAGGTGAAGTTGGCTGAGGAGGGAAGATGTATGAAATATGTATGTTTCTGCTAACTGTAAAATATGGATTAAAAATAGGTCAGCCTTCAGTTTGCAACTCATTATTTGCTAAGTTCTAGTCTGAAGACTAAAGGCAGTCTGAACAGTTTCTCATACTGCTATCTGGAATATAGTAATACCTATCTGCTCTTCTCTATGTATATAAATCTTCCTTTTTTTGTACTTTATAATATACAAAGATCTGTTTCCTTAAGCAGCTAGGTCAGGGGACCAGCATAGGAAAACAAGGTGTTCATCTTCCAGTCATGTTAAAAAAAGCCTCAACGCCTGGGTGTAGATAAGGAAAAAAAAAATGCCTAACGGTCACTGTGGCTGACTGAGCTGTCCAAGGGTTTTTGTGTGCCTTCTGAGGTTGCTACTCAAGATGAGGTATATTTAAATTAATTACTCTTGCTTTGGCTGATGATAACCTTCCTCTCTGATAGGGCGTTCCTTTCACTATTGCACAAGCACTGCTTTCAGCATCCCTATGAATGTAAGTACGTAGCTACATTGTATACAGGCTAATAGGAAACWTTATGTACCTGCTGCAAGCAACTCTTTAAGTGTTTTAATCTTGTTCAATGATGTGGTGTGGGTAGGTCACTTGCTACTGACCTTGCCGATCAAGCTGCTGTTTCGGTTGTAATTATGCTGATTGGGGGGCAATGGTTGTATCTGTACAAATGTCACTCGGTTTGTTTTTCTAGGTATAAAAGGGGGGAATTCTAAGCGCTGTCCTATGGCTCGAAAGGTGGAAATAAGGACAGAGCACCTTCTGTAACCTTTCTGAACACGTGGTGGCCCCAGCTTGTGAGAAAGAACCAAACTTGGCAATGACATGAACTGCCCTTGAGAAGCGGGAGGGCATGGGATTTCTCATGCTCTTCTCAACCCTCTCCAGAATTAGTTTTCAAGCAGAAGAAATAAGAAATCAGTGTAAATGTGGGTTGTTTAGGTGGAGCTGCCTTTTTTTTATCCTCTGCTGTACATTTCAGCATGTACTACTTGGTGTGCTTCATTTTTCAAGGGTATGACTTCCCTTAGTCATGCAGCAGCAGTTTTCAATGTGATTATGCAGTGTGGGAACATGAGGCAAACAATAAATGAGACTTTTAAAAAAAGCTTTTGTTTCCTGCCTTACTGAAGTGGTTACTTGGTGAAATGTATTTATTTTGAACAAGTTAAATGGAAAAAAAAAATCTTGATTTCCTTTTAAATAAAACTATGGCATTTAAAAATGAGCTGTACAGTTTTAAGGGAATAAAGTGCATTGGTGTGATGAATAAAACAAAATCAATTGCCAAAGCTGATTTAAATTTTATAAAATTCTGGCAGATGTGTTATTGGATTTATTGAAAACTGAGATATGAGCTATATTAATTACATCAGTATTGCGGAAGATCATATTTGCATCAAAGTGGGATCTTGAAGTGCTTTTGCGTCTTAGTACCTGTATGGGACTTTTTTTTAATTTTTAATTTTAGTTGTATGAGTATATTGCAATGTCTTGATATTGCTGATCAAGCAAAGTTGAAGGGCAGTTTTTGAAAGCAGGTTTTTTGAAAGCAGTCAGTAAAATACCATAATGGATATAGAAAAATGTGGTAAGTAGCATTTCAAGAAATGCTTAGTTGCCAGTGGTGTTTTTGAACTAAGGAAAGAGAATCAATTTGTTGGTCCTTTTAAACACTTTTTTTAATGGAAMAGTTTTGTAAATTCATTTCCAGATTGTACAATGAGGAACACACGGTATTCCTGAGGTGTCAGGAAGATGCATGATTTTTGTTTAGCTGAGGAATGAAAGCGCTTTACTTTTCAGAAAGTTAAATCATCTCTTCAACCACACTTACGTCTTCATTGTAAGCTTTTTTGGGTACATCTGTATACTCTTTCTAAGGAGAGAGAAAAATGCATTAGTTTTTATCACGCAACATGCTGCAGATTTAATGTCTGTGACTTGAGAGGCTATTCAGAAGAAATGTTATGTGTACCCTAGTTCTACTTASGTATGTAAGAAATACTTGACAAATAGAAATCAGTGACACAAATCACTGGGGTGTTTGAAAAACCTATTCACACCCTATGTCTGTGTGAACGTGCAAGGGGTTCTGCAATTCTTGCAATATACTTAATACAGRAGATAAAGCAGAGGTGTCAAACCTGAGGTGAAAACATTTGGGAGGAAAAAGACCACAAAACAGAATTGCAAAAATGAAACGAGGGATTAAAGGATCAAAGGCATTGATAAATTGACKGAATTGGCTAATATTTATGGGAAATTGCTAAGAGCTTTTTTTTTAATATACATGTTAAGGAGTGTAGAGAAAGCTTTGACTATAAGTAAGTTTTTTGTTTATTTAAGGAAAAGCATTATTGCAAGTGAGAGGAGGAAACAATAAAAAATTCCAGAAGATTATCATAGTAGTGACCAAGTCGGGGAAGTGCAGTCTTCAAAAAGTTGCAGTTGGCAGGAGACCTTAAAAGGTTAGAAATGGGCCATAAATCTATTTGCAGTAGCTAGAAGCTAGATGAAAAGAGTTGAGGATAGAAGTTATYGAGCTGTGTTAGATACACAAACGGTTTTCACGTTGCCAGTCTGCACGTGTGAAACCGAGCAGAGGTCACCGCGCGCTGCCAAGTGCCACTGGGCAGTTGCTGCCTGCACGGAGGTGCTCGTGTCAGTTCATGAAGTTGCATCCATATAAATAAACGCTCCTCGTTTGGTGAAAATACACAATTGAGGGGGTATGCCATTTTTRGACTGTTTACGACGTTACTAGCAAATGCTATCTAATAACTTGGTGGGCTGTGACGCGTTGCGGTAGGTCTGGCTGACTGTCATGAGGTGAGATACCGAGTATTTATGACTTCAAAAGGGTGTATGAGAACTCATCCGAAACATATTGCTGCCTCCTTTTTAGGAAAACCGAAGATGGTATGTGGATGAGGACAATTTTTTGTAATAGTGTCAAAATGGCAAAATTTTAATCAGGAGCTTTGAGGGTTCTGTGTAATTGATTGAAGGAAAAGCTCTCAGTGTCCCTTCTTAAAGTCTCCTTTAAGGGTTTTGTTGCCCACTGGAATATTGCARGCAATAAAAATTAGCATGATCTGTTTAATGTTAAAAAGAGAAACATCTTTGCTTTAGCCTGCTAATACAAATCATTCTGCTACTCTATAGAGACAGTGCAAACCATGTTTTCAGAAAAAGTCTTCAAAGGGACCACTTAGAAGGAGAATTAGAAAATGAATCATTTGTAGTCAAGGTTATCATGGTAGATGAMGCAAGACTGAAGGAACTAAGTTCGCTGATAGTGTATATAAAACATTATAAGCAAAAAAAAGGAATAAGGAGAGGTAATAGTGGTTATATGTTTTTAAATAAATAATAAAATAAAATAAAATAAAAACTTTAAGAATAGCTAAGCACTAGAATAGACCACCTATTATAAAACAGATAGCAATCTTTAAGAATGTTGTGGATAGCGAAGCTGAACAAAGCATCTAAAAGATGCCAAGATTATTTCCAGACCTGTTTTCCATGTTTCATGGTAAAAGAAAAAAACAGTAAAGATGTATAGTTCAGAATTACAAGACATGTTCACACTGTATTATCAATATTAACAAATGTTAGTGGTAAATGTTTCTTAAGTTTTTTTTTTTTTCAAAATAGAAATCGCAGGTTAGTGAGATTGAAAATTTGTGTGTACCAATCGTAGAATGATTAGTCTGTCCTTAATATATGCAAATGCATGCACTACTCTCAGCACTGTCATGAAAACATTTCTAATTTCAAACATGCATCACACAAACTTTTTAAGAACAAAATGCTCTTGTGTTTGTATGCTAAACCTTCTAGCACAGTGGGTTCTGGTTAACAAGTATGACTAAATTGAAAAAAAAAAAGAAAAAAAAAGTACCTGCATATCTTCATCAGTTAATACATGAAATTTGTCTCTGGGTTGTGGAATGGGAGAACATATTCTTTTGAAGTTGCAGTACCTTTTGGTATGAATCAGAATTTTGAAGAAATTAGAATATTGGGATTGCAAAATGCACAAATGTCTGTTCTTTAAGGACATTTCTTTCAAGAATGAAAACATATATTGCTTGGGAGATCACTTTGAGGAGAAAGAAAACATCCTAAATGGAGACTGGTGCATAACTATTCTAATTACTTGGGTAGCTACACTTTTGTGATTACAATCACAATAAATGACTTAGTTACAATAAATTGCACAAAATACATCACTTCTGCCCAAAGTGAGAAGTTTATTAAAATAATGACATATTTCCCCCAATTCCCTGTTGTTTTGTATTATAGGAAGCTAGTGACTTGAAAGCCATGTGGTTGTTAAATGCTTAAAAATAAAAACAGATTTGCTTTSTTTTTGTAAGGTATGTCTTGAATCACTTATTAACTTTAATAGCCTCTCCCCTGTTTCTCTGTAGCAATTTTGCATACTCAAAGTCAGCCAGAACAATACTGGTAATTATCATTCATGATGCTGATAACAGTTGGGTACTTAAAGTTTCTAAAGGTATGGAGAATGTTTGTGTGTCACAAAAATAGCTACTTTTCTAGGATGGATTTACCTTTTGCAAAGAAAGAATTGGAGCAATGTCACAGAGATTATTCCAAGTGTTATCAGTATTAAGATCACAAAAATAAAATCATCTTTCCTTTGACCTGAAACATCCGAGAGAGGAAAAATCATAGCATCAGAGCATACTAAAAATTGGCTTTCCTGGTTAGTAGTAATTAATGCTGATTTCATATAACCTATTGAATATTTTTAAGAACTTTGATTTGGCATCTTACAGAACCTTGACAATAAGTTCAGSTATATTTAGTCCATTTTAAAACATAAACATTTTAAACTTAGCACCATTTACCACAAAGACACAAATAAAGTGTCAAAACATAAGATGGAAAAACAGGAAAGATGATGAATTTATTAAAAGAATGTTGGTAAAAAAAAAAAGAAAAAAAAAAAAAAGGACAAATTGAATAGTTGGGAGGAAGAGAAGACTCATACCAACCCCTATCACTATGCTATTTAGGCATATCCTCTATATTAATAACTTCTACCCTGCTCCTTCCATGTCAGTGGGTAGGAATTAAGATTTTGTTGTTATCTGTGAATGTGAGAGAGACAGGGAGGTGAACATGACACTGGAACTGGAAATGGTGACACAGGAAAATAATTGAGATGAAAARAATATTGCAGGCTTACCAAACTCAATGGGCTCACTCCATTCTCCCCAGCTGGAGTTTACATTACAGTTTTTCCCACGTGCTCTAATTTTCAGAATATATATTTTTTTAGCATTGAAATTTTGAAATTCATATCTGTAGTTCCTTACCTAGAATCGAAACAATTAAACTTGAGTTTTATTTTTATTTTATTTTTATTTTTATTTTTATTTTATTTTTATTTTTTATTTTTTTTTATTTTTTAATTTTTTTAAATTTTTATTTAATTTTTATTTTATTTTTATTTTATTGAGTTTTAAATTCCATAGAACTATATCTATATA